GTGTGCCCTCCAGGGGGCAGTGCTGAGAAAAAGCTTCGCGGGCAGCGCTGCCTGCGCGGGAGGTGCCCGCTGCAGGCAGCCTGGCAGCGCTGGCGTGGCAGAAGCCCCAGGCCAAGGCGTTCCCCAAAAACCTCGTCCCCCCCTGGGCTGCCACGCTCACACCCCGGTGGCTCCCCAGGCTGCTGCCTGCGGGGAGGGCTGAGTTCACCCCGGGGCGCCCAGTGGCACTGGTGCTCAGCCCTCACTGGCGGGAGGAGGAGCGAGAGGGGAGGAAGGGCGATGCGACCGTAGGGTCAGTGGGAGCGGTGCTGGAGCCCCCCGAACCCTGGCACATCCTTTGGCTGTGGGCAGAGCTGCCTCCCTCCAGTCCTCCCTCCATCACAGCCTGCTCTGGGCACGGCGGGAGCTGGAGGAACCCGTCGGGAGCACCCTGATCTCTGTGCCCAGAGCTGGCCACATCCCGGGACATCCTGGAGGGATGTCATTTCCCAGGAGGGACACAACCACCCCGTCCTATGCACCGACCCCAGCCTGGAGCCCTAGGCCACATCCCTGCTGCAAACCCCTGTCCCCCACACTGCCGGGCATTACGCACCGTAACCGGCCACGAGAGCATCACCGAACGGCAGCGGAGCCGGTGGCTCCCGGGTGAAACGGCGGCGTGGGGACAATGTCTCTTGCACTGCCGGCGTGGGAGGGCAAAGCGCTGCTGGGGCTCACACGTGTGCACGCTCGACGTCCCGGCTGGCGGCAGTGCGGCACCCGGGGGGTGCGTGGGTGCATCCCTGTGGGTGATGTGGCTGCCCCCCCGCCCCCGGTGACAGGCCAGCACCCCAGGTGACATGCCTTCATCCCCCCCTTCACCCCTCCATCCCCCGGTGACATGACAGCACCCCAGGTGACATGCCTTCATCCCCCCCTTCACCCCTCCATCCCCCGGTGACATGACAGCACCCCAGGTGACATGCCTTCATCCCCCCCTTCACCCCTCCATCCCCCGGTGACATGCCTGCATCCCCCCCCCGGCGAC